TATTTTATGATTGATTATTTTTACGGAAGGCAGTAGGGTATGGAGTGATATTTATGCGTTTTCAGGAATGTTTTGATTGATATGGCGTCTGCGGAAGGCACCATACTTCTCAGAACAGACGAAGATGCTCGTCGAATCATGGACGGGATGGTGCGTTTTTATAGCCGATGCTTGCTCGAGAACGTTTAACCGTTTTTTCTCTTCCAAGTTCTTTTACTGCTTCAGTGTCCTGAAAGATGTATACGTGCCTATACAGCAACAGGTGGCATGGCAATGGGGCGAAATCGCCGTGGTGAAGGGTTCTACCGTTTTTATGCTTGTACTCGCCCACAGAGAACTGTACTGCTTGCTGATCAAGTAACAGGAACAGATGTAGAGTTAGTGAACATAACCTCTAGTTTTTCCTCTGTTTCTAGTTCCTCTGGTATATGCCTTGCTTGTATTGCATATTTTGCTTTGCTTTGTAGCGCAATGAAAACTGAGCTCACACGGTTGCAACATGAACAGCAGCGGTTGCATGAAGAAGTAAAGACGGTAGGTTTCATTCAAACTTTTCCATTCCTTGGTGTTTATTACAATCTTCCAGGCGACTTCTGAAGCTAACAGGACCCAAACTGAACTCGACAAGGCGTCTCAAAGGTATAATGCCATAGAAACGGACTTGAACAGGCTCAGGAGTCAATACCGGTCTTTGGAACGAACGTTAGAACAGCTGGAACTGGAAGATGACTACTCAGTTGTAGACAACATGGTACTTGTTTTTTTTCGGTAATAGCTTGGTATCCAGTCTAGACTCTGCAAAAAGCAGCCCCCATAAATATGTATATTACATGACATATAACGTACAACATAATACCTTATACATTACTTTTAGCGAGCCAGCTTAAATGAAATCAATGCACAAATTACCGAGTTGGACGGAGATTTCGAAAGACTGAGTCAGGTATGAAGAGATTTTACAAGGTGTCTATTTTCCGGAGGCGCTCTGTTTCTTTCAAATTTGTAAAGTTTTTCGAAGTTCATTTGGAAATTAGTAAGATTTATTTTTCTAAACCATTTGCTAATATCACCGTTTTGCACTCCCTGGAGCACTTAAAGAGAAATCATGAAGAGATCTTACTTGGTCTAGATAGCATTCGTACTCCACCTTTTCAGGGTGCTTTACAAAAACAGCGAGAGCTCTCGGATGTGAAGAAAAACTACAGAGAAGTTGAAGCAGAATTTAATGAAGGCAAGAGAGAAATGGTCGAGCTCGAGGTACTATATAATTCCATCTATTTCCATTTTCAATTCATTTTTTTTCATTTTTTCCTGGCTTCTCTTCTCATTTCATTCCATTCAGAACGATTACAGTCTTGGATTGTTGTGGTTTTGCACCATCAATTTCTTATCTTACTTAAGAAATCTCTCGGTTTCAGACTCAAGAAGCAGATGTACAAGAGAAAATTAGACGCATATCGGTTAATATTGAGTCTGATGCAAGACGTGCCGCTAGAATACAGGAGGCAAGTTATATCGAACCCAGCTTGTGTATTTGATGCTTTGTCATCATTCAAAGATTTGGATTATCTTTTCCATTATAATGTGCAAGATATTATTTATTGTTTTGGTAGAATATTCGCAAGTAACTTATATGAAGTTGTGTTTAAATATCTGAGGGTGCCGAGTGAATAATTACCTCCATGCGCGAACACTGATTACAGCTGCCATTCTCCAATCGTCAATTCCAATGCTTTTTTCAAGTATTTCTTAAAGTCGACAGTTCTTTATTTTTGATGCTTTCTCATTAGTGAAGGGTTTATGTGATGTTGTATATTAGTAAGATCCGACTGCGCATAGAACTGAAGGATAAAGAGGAACTATGAAGTTCAGCCACCTTGTAACAGTAAAGCATGAAGGACAAGTAGTATTCAAAGATTTCAGGAAAATTCATTAGTCTTATCTGAGCTGCTGATATTGTTTTGCAGTTGTGGAACCCCCTTTTTTCTGGATTATACCGATTTCTGTTCCTTATTGAATCTATATATTTGTTGTTGTAGTCCTTCGCCAAAATTGATGAAAGGATAAAAGAACTGGAAGCAAAGAAAGAGGAAGCTGAAAAAACGGTACGTTTTTCATTTCATATATTATGTAGTTATATTATATTATATTTTATTATTATATTGCTCTCACTTTTTTGTAAGGGAATGCATGCAGAACAGAACCTTTCCAATTTCTTCGCTTTGCACTTGAAGCAGCTGTGGAAAATGATTTCTGTTGTCCCCTTTTTTTTTGTTTAATCAGTTCGTGTTCGATATTTGAGGCTGAGCGAAGTCAGACGCTTCCTACACCATCGTCGATGTCAAATCCGCCAGATATGGAGCAGCTTCCCGACACCTCTGATCTCGATGATCAGTACAAAGCGCTGACGCTCAAAATTGAATCAGCAGAAAAAGTGTCAGTGCAAAGAAAATCTCCGAACCTCTTGTGAAGTTACAGTTTCATTTCTTTGACTTTCAGAGTTGGTAGGACTGTAACCGTAGAGCAGCTTCAGTCATTTAAAGATAATTATGAAGCGTCGAAGAAGCACTATTTGGTACTGAAGTCCTTGAATAAGGTGTGCGTTCCACGAGACTTCATTTTTGAATACCATTCCCAATTCATTATCGTTTTCAGAAGCTCTCAGAGTGCCTCAAAATACGTGAAGAAAAGTTCCCGATCATGTGCCATGCAATTACTATGCGTTTGAAGATGACGTTCCAAAGGCTGATGGCTACGAGGTAACTTTTTCGAACAGCGATGGGGATGTGAAAGTCTTTACAGTGTGTCAGCTTTAGTACAAGCGCTTGAAGCATAGAAGGAAGACCTTCCTGCAGTATAGAAATATTGTTGTAGTAATTAATACCTAATTACTAATATTGTAGGTCATATCATGGCAATCTGATTGTTGATCGTCAAAAGGAAGTCATAAATATTAGCGTGGCAACTCATCTGAAGGACGATAATTCTCAGACCGTTACCAAAAGTGTCATACAGGACTTGAAAGGTAACACATTACACACATAACTGTCACACTATCCAAGGTACATAGAGCGAAGGTGGGGCCGCAATTGGTCGGGCAGTGATGAGTGGGTAGTCTTGAATGACTAGTTTAAAAGATTTTGCTGTTCGCAGTTCGCTAAAAAGGGTTCAGACAGGAGAAAACGATGTAGTTGTGAAATTTGCTGAAAGGATTAGATATAAATATTTTCGAATTGTCTCTACTCTTTCGTTTAAGAAAATTTGCATTTCATTGATTCTTCCATTCTCCAGTAGTGCTATCTGCCATCAACTTCTTGACATATGATGTGGTACCTTAGTGTTGAAGAAATTCGGTGGCTGCAAAATTCTGTCGGAAGAACTGACAGATCTTTTGCAATCACCTGATAAGGTTTTATGGCAAATAGTGTTGCTTATCATCTGCAAAAAACTTGTCAATCAAATAAATCATCCGCTATTGTTGCTAGCACAATTTTTTTATTGTTCGGCTTTTTGGTGGGTTTTCCTATAGATTTCTATATATATATATATATATATATATATATATATATATATATATATATATATATATNTATTTATTTATTTATTTATTTATTCAGGCCTCTCTGGTGGTGAGAGATCATTCACTACGGCATGTTTCATTATGGCTTTGTGGGAGATTATGGAAGCACCGTTCAGGTGTATGGACGAGTTTGATGTATTCATGGATATGATCAACAGACGCGTAAGCACCTATACCCTTGTGAATTTTATTGTCTCTCAGTATTCCATAACTTTTATTACAGGTCATTATGGATTTACTGGTGAAATTGGCCACGGAGCAATATTCCCACAATCAATTTATTTTCTTCACTCCTCAGGGAATCAAGGAGCTTGGCGAACGAGAACGTGTTCAAGTGTTTGAAATGCCGAAAGTTCGTGATTGATTAACAGTGGACCATGTGTCGAATTCACGGGCAAGGCGAAATTGTCATACTTATGTTTTGCTAACTCCTTTTCATCTTGTTCTTCCTCATTTTGCAATCAAAAATGTTGTGATTCTAATTTTTGTACACAAATGATAACGGCCCCTTGTTGCCAATCTTTTTAGAGATAAGTGTGTTGAACGGTTGAGCTTTAAAGTAGAGATAACATATTATAGGCATGTCTCACATGGTAATAGCACCTAATTTTTTTTGGCTTTTCTCCACTTCTAGACCTGTGATTTCCTCGATTTATGGGCTGACCTTTATTGTTTACGATGTCATATATTTTTTCAAGCTAATCATAAGTTCTACATCAATTAACAGCTGTTTATTTAGAATAATGACTTCCAATAGGAAACACACTTTTTGCTTCTTCATGTTTTCGTCCTTTTCACTACCCATTCTTATAGTATGTTCAAGTTAACGCAATGTTCGATGCATCTGCCGTTTTGCTCATCTCCTTTAATTCGAGAGCTGTCTACGATTCTCATATGTTACTACTACCTGTTGTTTCAGTGTTATCCTCATTGATCTTGTTCACAACGATCTAATAGCCATTAAAAACAAAACCTATTTCTACCTTGCATGATTATTTATTGTAGTTGATTGTGATATTTATCGAGCTGTAATTATGTTCATAGCACAGGTCATTTTTAGTGAGTGCATTCATTATAATGAAACTGATTTATAAAGTTTAAAACAAGATGGATTATTCAGCAGTTAATAATTGTAGTGGTTTTATCCGTAATTTGTATGTATTTTGAAAAGATTGTGTATTACCTGTATCACCTATTGTCCCGCTGATCGTCGTTTTGCTCAGCGGCCGTCTGGGACGTCTCCATTCGTCCCTGTCACGAGGGGAAATTTGCATGCACTTTGATGAAAATAGAATCGTGATCACTTTTCCAAATTACGTTTTCCTTTCTTCAAGGTCGATCATAAAGTGAGATTTAGGGTGCCTCCTCCATTAGAAACATTGTTCTGAGGACCGCATAAGCTTGCTTCTTAGGAAAGTACATATGGGTGCAGGGTCCTACGACACCATTCTGTTGTTGATTTCGCTGTTGTAGATCTTTGACCTTAGACTCTGTTTTGAGGTTTGATTGCATCACACGAAGAGGTGCTATTTCCACAGAAAACTACTGTAATCTATTGTCCTATCCTTTAAGCATCGACATAACTTTTGCAGGGGGTGTTCTATAGAGACATCGAATGCGGTACATCCTTCTCTCAACTTTCTTGAAGTTTTCTTCCGCACGTTTTTTGTTAGAAGTTAACTTGGAGTTTAGCCTCGTGTGTATATTCCCACATTCGATGGAAGGCCAGATTTGAAGCTCCAACGTCAGTGTCGATGTGAGCTCAATTTTAACTTGCAGGAGAGTTCAGGGATGCGGCAATGCTGAAAAGATGCCTCGTAATCGTATTACTACTTCTGATTCACTGTGTTAACTCTAAGGATGAATCTTCCCGCACGGATGCAAAAGAAGAAAACAAGGTCCCACAATTCCTCACGGTGGAAGGCGTAGTGGGACCAGGAAATTTCACACGATATGAACTGAAGTTTGCCTATCCTATGAGGATTGTTTTACAGTCTTTAGAAGGTGAGCGTTAGTGTATTCCCTTTATTCTTATCCGTTTTCTGTGATAATGAATGGTATTATTCTTGGAAACAATTTTGCTTAGTCTTTTAAAGCTGCCGGCTTCTGAACCCTTCAGTACTTCAGGTGATGCCGACATATATTTCTCGTACACCGATAAGTCTGTATCATATGAGTTACATGCGCATGATGCCTCATCGGCTACATGCGGTTTAGACTACATTGATGTCTTGTCAAAACCTAGGCCTGCCTATTTGGGGGTAAGTGACCTATTTGGAATTTCAACTCCTCTACCATTTTTTGTTAGCGAGTGCACGGTAGTCGAGCTATTTGGTATTCAGGTGTATGGTCATCCTTCGAAAAATATGACTTCCTATCGTCTTTTGGTAATGGTATCTCCTGATGGAAATTTCGAGCACGGACCTGAGCTTATTAATGAGTAAGTCTTATAACCTACTCGCCTCATTGTGGGATTTCCGTTTTTTTTTTCATGGGTGGTTTAAAAACTATGGCGCTCAGCCATTGAATGAAGGGATTTCATATCCGATTTGAGTTAGGTTCATAGAGCAAGAATGGTCGTCGTTTTGTTAAGCCGTATTGAATCACTAAGTTTCCCGTGTTCGGCCGCCATCGACATATGAACGTACGCACGGAATAGGAGTGGTTTTGGTTTTATACGATAACCCTATGAGGATCAATTTCGTTTTTACCCTTCGAATCATGCCTGGCTCCTTTTTCGCTCATCATCAGTTTAGGCTTTTTAGGTGGGCTGAACTTGTTGAGCGAGACAATGACGGAAGAAGTGGTCATCCGATTTTCGTCGATATTTTATCAGGAATTCTAGAGATTCTTGTGGAGGTTTTATTATAGCGCGAAGATGTCTTTTATTCCAAATCAATTTTCGAGTGCTGCGATTGTGCCTTAGCATATTTATTCCCTATGTCTGAATTTCTGATCTTGTCTGATTGGGTATTTCCTCAACTACCTAAGTTTTTTTTTCACTGATTCTTTTCTTTCTCTTATTAATGTCTAGCTCCTTTAATTCGCTCATATCGGTACACGAGTTCTGGTCATCAATTTTTGGGGATTTATTTCATGCATTTTATTATATATTTTTTTGTCCTGCTAAAAAATTTTGCCGGAAGATTTACTTTGTCCATATTGTTAATCCAATTCATACTTCTCATGAATTGAATATTTCCTTTGAAATCTCGTTAATTATGCAGTGAAAGGAAAGTTCTAGGAGCCTAGACAGAATGGCTACGGAGCTGGTGCAACCAGCTTCACATTCTTCCATTCAACTGCAGTCTTTCGAGAAGGGTAAGATTTTTGTTTTTTCACGAGTTCATACTTTCTTTTGCTGTTCCACGACTGCCTAACATAATGTTCTTAGCGGTGTATAATATTTACGGCTCTGAATTTGGCAATTCTGTATGGTGGCCAAATGCGTGGCTTGATCTGGGAGCTTTGATAGTTGCTAACTCTTTCATCCCTTAGCTATCTCCTTGGTAATGCTGTATTGGAGAACTTGAGTTAGAGCTTTATTCTAATTGCTATAGATTGATAAAAGGAAAGTCATTTTGCGATGAGGGGGCTAGTAGTAGGGCTCTATCCCGCAAAAATGGGAGATATTAAGTATTGACAAGAATTTCAGTCTTACGTAACTTTCAACGCTATGAGATGCAACTTCCATGTTCGGTCTTCTTGAAACCTGGGCATTTTACATAATNTTTAAATACTGCTTTGCCGTACAGGTTTGTTATGGCTGAACCGCTTTATTGGTCAACGTTCCGACTGGATCGTCGTCTTCAGGACCTGAAAATAGTTCGAAGCTCTTGATCTGTGACTTACCCGACCAAGCGCCCAAACGCGCTAGGCTAGTTGCAACGACTCCCGGAAACTAAAATACGGAAAAGTTCCAGCAAAGAGACCAACCTTCTGCGGTTCCACCAGCGTTACGTCCCACTCTATGTGAACAACTCAATACTCATCAATTATAGGTCTCCGATCACCATCACTTGGTGACCAACTAGCTACGGTTGTCTCCACAGCCAGTCTTATCAAAGCCAATCCTTTTCCAATGTACGTCAATACAATTGTAGTCAGATTAGCAGATGCATTCAAAGATGGGTAAGTATATTTTTTCTATTTTGAAACTGACTACAAAATGAATATTTTTCAATTACAGGTCAAATCCTCTTCGAATGACCATAGCGCGAGTACTTTCAGAATGTAAATCACATCTGTCTTTAGTTTTTTCTGGAAGTGAAATATTTAAGAGGTTCTTATCCGTGTCCCACTCCAACGATCCGGTTGCTCGGGCTATGACCCTTCAGGTAAGAAGTCACAATTTTTAGCAAAATCTCCATTTAGATCGCGATTCATTCCCTTGTATTCAGGCACTTGCAAGTCTTGCCCCAATATCACCTGAAAGCAAGCAGGTAAATTCCAGTTTTCGGAATTTCCCCATGTGGTTCCTTCATTTACTATTGCTTCCATTATGTAGGTGCATCATCTTATCGTAGAGTCAATGGCTGCCGAGAACGCAGGCGAGTTCCAAGCGGCATGTCATGCGATGTCTGCTTTTGCTCATCTATCCTCGTAAGTGTTGCATTATCGACTTATACAGTCCGCTGATTTGTTTTGGCTCTTTCTCATCTTTTTCGTCACAATCGCAGGGCCCGTTTTGCCATATGGTTTTTCCTTCTTGGAGCTTGATGCACCATATAGGCAGGGCTTGACCTATTCAATTCTTAAAAATTTATGTTCTGATGATCATGCGGCACATTTTACCCCTAGACTTACGCTAGGAACTGATATCGCTCCGATCAGATGACCATAGTAAATTACGTCTAAATCGTTGGTAAATAAGTTAGCTATTCTTACAGTGATTTCTCGAGCACAATAATCGGACAGCTATCCGAGTTACTACTAGCTGAGGAAACGACGTATGACCGCAAAGCTCAGATCGTAAAAGTTTTTGCCAAAATGAAAGCAACCGTGACGTCGATGAAGGTATAGTCACATGTGTTGCTTTTTTCTATAGATTATGATTCGACTACGTTTCATATTGGAACGTTCCTTTTTCTCTTAGCCCTGTGGGAAGATTCTGCCAAAAAAAGCTCAAACTGGGGAAACATGAATGGGGTCTGGCAAGTGCAAAAGAATCACGAAATTCACATCGTTAGAAGGAGCAATGCTGTTCTCAGGGTCTCGTTCCTTTTTTCGTTGTTTTCGTCATTCCTCCGAGTCTGCCTTTTTTGATCGAACCAGCACTTCTTTCTGAAGTGCTTCTTTCCGAGGCTTAAAAGTACACATTTCTGAATCATGTATGTAATGCTATGTGTGAAATTATGATTGAGGGCACCTCATAACAGAATCTTGGAGAGGTTGATCATGAAAATTTTGTTGTTATTAGACGAGTGGAATTGGTGCAGCAAGCATCCTTTCGCTTTTGTCGTTTGTTGGAACCATTACCAGCCTTCAGGAAGCTATTTCCAACTGAAAAGTTTTTTGAGAGAAAAGGAAATTAGTCTCGAGGCTAATTGGTTTACTTCTTCGATTCTTGTGCTATCTATATAAAGGATAAAGGATAAAGTTTTTGGCGTTAATCAATCCCGTCTGAGGGATGCGCCCCCGCACTCGACTTCCGTTCAGAATCGTAGTGGCGTAATGAGTGCGTATGTGGCCTATACAATGACTTGCGGTGGCCAGCCGATGTACAAGTCAGTGCTTTTATCCTCCCAGACGAGTCTGGTACCAATTCACCGACCCCGGAGGGATGGAAGGCTTGGTTGGCCTAGGCGGGCATCGATCCAGGATTCGAACCCCTGACCGTGCGTGTGATATAGTGCGCCACTTGCCACTACACCATCTCTGCTATCTATATAGGTGATGAGGATTGAAATTGTTGGTTCAGGAGGTGTTTTCTCTTACAACTCGTCTTCTGGAGATATCTACATTTAACGAACTGATCTGTCCACTGCTCGATTCCACAACAACTCTGGCAGAAGCGACACGTTATGCGATTCCAGAGCAGGTGCAACTATTTTGCCTTGAAATTAGCTTTTGTAACGAGTAACTGGATTACTTTAACAGCTCGATATTCTCATTGGGGTGGTATCCGGATGTCACGGTGATAATTTTCCTGTCTGTATGTCGACGTTACACAATATAGCGCGGCTAGCGAAGCATTCACATGTATGGAGAGAAGATCATTTGAAGGTGAAATTGAACTCCCATTTTTTAAGACAGAAATCGCCGTATATTACTTGAAGGTGTTCCCTCAGTTCTCGAAGAGCATGCTTGAAAGCTTTAATTTGTTCAAGCAATTCCCTGTAGACAGTTTAGAACAATGTAGTAAACTTTTGATATTGTATTTTACTCTTACTGCTCCTTCCCTTTTTTATTTTGCTTTTCAGAAGCTTCATCAATTGAAATCCAGAGTTTCATCGAATCCCAATACGTATCAACGGTACTTGGAGGTCCTTGTCGGGTTGACTAAAAGAGCTCGTCCAGGCTTGATTATGGGATTATATGGTATGCATGATTTGAAAATTTTCAAATTAGGTTTACATTTTACATTTATAGTTGGACAGGGTCCCCATGCGATCAGCCATTGTTCCAACATGCTGTTCGGCCCTGACGCTATGTGAAGACGGCAGTTATGTAGGTGACAGGGACCAGTTGAATCTTTCAAGATCCGCCAGCTCAGTGCACTTTGCAAGCCTGTTTGGGCGCCCCATTACAGTTTTTGTCTCTTCAAAAGTATGACTTATTATAATAGCAGCAGGTCGGCAGTGGGATCTATTGATGACGGATAGGGAGTAGGACCATCACAGTGAAGGTATGGTCTGGAATAATATTCCAGCTCAAAAAAATCGAAAGGAAATTACGAAATGAGAACATTTAGATTTAAGATCCACCAAGATCAATATAAAAAACTAATATATTAATAGATATTAATACCTTCAGTATAGATATAATCCTTCGGACGATCAATTTTGACTGATCACTGCGAAGATCAGCTCAAGTTGTGTAGGAAAGGGTGTCCAGGGAGAGCTTGAACTGTAGCGCTGACGGTGATATCGATAATTTCAGAGACTTTAAATGAATTGGGATATCTCGGGCAAAGTGATTGTATGGAAATGCGTATTCGTTACTTGCAAATAAGCTGCAATATCGTTTGTCGAGTACCAAATGAACGTAAGTGGCAGATGCTGTGTGGACCATTCCTGGATACTATAGAATATGAGTTACCGACGAAATTGGCAATTAAGGTGAGCTTTTAGTTTGCTGTGAAGTTGTTGATTCGCTTGCTCACACAACTTAAAATCTGCAAGATTCCTCTCTCAGCTCTACGCTCTGCAACCGCATGCTAGCGTCCCATGTTTAGCGGCGGGCGTCACAACCAATCAGTCTGAGGGGATACATTTATCAAGTCCTTTTCAGCTCTATCGAACTCTTGGGCGCTTCATGTGTTGCAATGAAGTTCCACCTGAACAAATTCTTTCTCTTCTGGAGGGTATACTGAGAATCCCGCTGAATCATGGAAACATAGCTCAGCTGATTGAGTTCTGCTGCCAAATAGCTAGTCGCCTACCCTTCGTTGTGTCCAAGTTGCATCATTGGGCAAGGGAGGTTGTTGCCAAAGAGGTTTGTCTCTCTCTTTAATTTTCATCTGTTCTTTCTTATTCAGTTTCTAAAGTGTTTGTGTTATGAGNTCTCTTTCAAGAGTCAACTATCTGGCACAGCTCTGATATATCTGCTATTGGCGCCGTCGGTTCACTTGCCGAAGGATGTCGACACACTCATGAAGGGAACCGATCTCGAGCGATACGTTGCTGCTCGAGTTGCATTTCGAAATGGCCATTGGAAGAAAGCGGCGTTTCCGAATCTGAAAGCTATCTGTACTGATGTAAGTTAAGCAATTTTCTAGCTCTGTTATAACGAAATCCCTCACTCCCTCCGATTATTGATGAATTGAAAGAGGCGTATTTCTTGAGGGTGTGGTGTTTAATTTTGAATTTTCGTTCATTTTCAGAGGTTATCATTGGAAAATTGCGAGTGGATCCAGGCTTTGCAAAGTCTGGCCGCAAGTCAACTCAATGATTTCTCTGTTGCAGCGTTATTTGAACAGAATAGGCGGCTGTACAAAACGCATTCGATTTTGAAAGTAAGTCACGGTATTCTTATGCATAGCAACTTCTGTCTATTCTTTTTTCATTTCAGTCCTTGGCGCAGAGCTCCCAGCATGAGGCAGCCTTATCGTTTCCAAGCGACTGGGTGGCCTGCTTACTGTATTCTTCAGATGCCGCATTGCAAATTGCTAGTGCGATTAGTCCGACATTGAATTGGTGTGCACATCCTCTCTCAGCAGCTGTGGTCTTTCGCGTGAAGAAAGCGGTAAGTCATTTGTGAATTAAAAAGCTTAAATGACCAGGAAAACGGTTCTAAAAAGTACGAAAAGCCAAGTCAAAAAACCGCCTTCGTTCTTTTGGACATGCAGTCAAAGTAGGTCGAGGACACGGCAACAGGTAGAAAAACTATCCTCAAATTGCGACACCCCATAACTTGCTGCAGATTCGTAGAACCTGCGTTGAAAAGTCTCTTTGAAGATTCAAAGGAAGCTGACCGTACCAGGTAAAGCTCAGAAGAAGGGCAGCCTCTGTTAATCCAAAAGCAATGGGACGTACGTATAGTTTTGAATAGGCTTTTACGACGGATTGCTAGCTTTTGAACTCGTGCCCACTTTTTGCTGCAAAGATCAACACATTTCAGTTGATAGCTTGTGACTTTGGAATCTCACGGGCTTGTCAAGCATGGCTCCGATTGGCTAGATCGTCATTTGGTGCGGACGAGGAAACCATAGACTTCCTTGCTCTACAACACAAGCAATGCGCACTTGTACAGTACGCCCTACACTGCATTACTGGACGACAAGCATCAGTGTAAGTACCACTCTGCAGAAGTGCGGTATTACCGGCAGAAAATTACAGCAGTGGTTTTAAGAGTGCCTCTACCAACATCGTCCGGTAACTCCACCCACACGCAATTATTGTTAGAACAACTACAAATAGCATCAGGTCAAATCGAACAGCTAGCCGCCAGCGATGAAGGCATAACGATGCAGGTGTGTTTGATTGATGGGTATGTAGCTCTAATATGGGGTAATTACGGTATTTTTCGGATTAGTAGGGCCTATCGTGTATTAGGTTGTCGGAAAAGTATTTGCGCCTTTTGCAATTTTTTTTTGAATTTATTTTTTTTCCTTCACAATAACAAACAACAAATATATGCACCATCATTATCGATAAGGTATTGCCATTCATCAGGCAACTTGTGGTTCCTGCTGGCGTAGAATTCCTGAGGTTTCGAGAAGGAAAACTCGTCAATGTACGTCTCGAGTTGATTCACATAATCGAACTTCTTATTTTTCGGATGGTCCGACAGCGACAGGAGCAGATGATAATCTGTTGGAGTTAGGTCTGGTGAATACGGTGGGTGGGCCAGAACATGCCATCCCAGTCTTTGAAGCTTCTTCTGGGCCTCCTTCGAAAAGTGTGGGCGAGCACTGTCTTGGAGAAAATAGACTTTCCCGGGTTTCTCTCCTAGAGCTGCAGAAATCCGGTCCACAGAGCACACTGGGCTTCAGTGCTGATAGCGGAGTTTGGTGTTAGAAGGTCCCAGTGATCGATCCTTTTGAATGGCTTCAAACGCTAGGCATTGCCTTCTGAGGTAGAAATTCTGGATTGGAGGTCAGGATTCCATGCTCTACGCATCAAGCCATTGGCGCTTCCTCGTGTGGTTTAGTAGGGAACACACTTCTCGTCGCCAGTGATTAGGTCTTCCAGCCATGCGAAGGTGCGTCGGAAAGTCATCAAGTTTAGGCATGAATCCCTCTTCATTTGGAGGTCGTGACCACCCAAATCAAAACTTATCCATATCTCCGAATATCCATGTCTTTCCAACGCGATGCAAATGGACAGCTTCTGTGTCCTTCGGTCCAGTCAAAGTGGCCA